CAAAACGTCTAACTAGATACTACAGTTAGGTGTTTTCATTAAATTTCTTTGTGTTCTTATAAATCTTTTAAGAATGATTTTAACGAAACATTCCAAAATCTGGGTAGAATATTGCGAGACAGGAGGATTTCTTTGGTAACAAAGAAAAGAATATTGAGCTGTTACGTGACATTTGTCCTTTACGGCAGCGGATGTTAGACGATCTCCTCAAAAAAGAAGAGACTCGAGGTGACAGATGTTGTTCTACAGAAGGATGTTAGGGATATCATGGACCGAGCGAGTGAGCAACGATGAGATCTTAGAGAGGTTGCAAACAAGGAGGGGGCTTATACTTAACAACAGGAAGAGGCAGCTGAAGTTTATGGGACATATAATGAGGAAGGAGGGCCTGGAGAATCTGATACTCACGGGTCGAATAGAAGGAAAGAGAGACAAGGGAAAACAACGCGTGACATACCTAGAGGGCTTAAGCAAGTGGATGACAGAACGTGGTCTTGGGGGAGGTGGCAGCAGAGGGAAGGAACTTGTTGAGAGCTGCAAGGGATAGAGGGAGGTGGAGAGACACGTCTGTGCCTACCTCCTGAAAGGACATGGCACATACAAAAGAAAGACAGACACACACACATATACATACATATATATATATATATATATATATATATATATATATATATATATATATATATAATGATAAATATGTCTGAGATTAATTTTAGCTGGCTCTTACGTATATTATTTTCGGTATTTCCAACCAAAATCTTTATGTCTTGTACAATGTTAATGAAAACTTTAAAAAACCCGTTCTTATACATTTTCTTACTTTCCCAACAAACATAAAATTACATAAAATCTGTGTCAAAACAGAGAAAAAATTCCACTGAATTAAAATTGAAATAAAAGATTAAAATTTGTCTTTAATCGACAAAAATGTCAAAAATTCCTGTTATCTATCTATCTATCTGTCTGTCTATCTATCTATCTATCTATCTATCTGACTGTCTATCTATCTGTCTATCTCTGTGTCTGTCTATCTGTCTATCTCTGTGTCTGTTTATCTGTCTACAGTGGGGGAAATAAATATTCGTACACTTGAAAAATTGTATTTTTATAAATGTAAAAGCCTTGAATAAAACAAATCTCGGCACATTTTATATATAAAGACACATACTATTAAAAAATAATAATAAAATTAATTCTTATTCTAACAGAAATTAATGCATTTTTTTAATTCTAACTGGTGAAAAAGTATTCGTACAAATCAATTATTAGAATAAAATAATCAATTAATTATGAAAAAAGTATATTCTAGAATGTTCCAGTAATGTTATCAGTAATTATAGTTAACGCTATTAGCCATTATCAGAGCATTTTGCAATTTCTCGTCTTCCGAGAAGATTCTAATAATGCCTAAAGGTAAAGAATTGACTATTTCACAAAAACAACAGATTTTGTCTCTTTGGAAAGATGGGAACAGTTACAGAACGATTTCTAACAACCTGAATATTCCTTTTACTACAATTGCTTCGTTCATTGCAAGGTTTAAAACTCGTAACAGCGTCGAAAACCAAAGACGAACAGGTGCTCCGAGGAAGATTTCTCTAAGATCAGCAAGGATATTCGGACGCCAGATCCAACAAAATCCACAGATTACCCGAGAAGAGCTGCAGGAACATCTGCGTGCATTAAGGATTAAAGTAACCAAGCGTACAATAAGTAATGAACTACACAAAAACAGTCTTAAATCACGCATCCCAAGGAAGACTCCACTCCTCTTGAAATAACACAGAGATGCTAGGCTAAAATTCGTTAGAGAGCATAAGGATAAAGAATATTCGTTTTGGGAAAAAGTACTATGGACAGATGAAACTAAAATAGAGTTGTTTGGTCATAATTATCGAAATCATGTATGGAGGAAGGACGGTGAAGCCTACTTACCAAAGAACACGTTGCCAACTGTAAAGTTTGGTGGTGGCAGTATCATGATCTGGGGCTGTTTTTCTGCAAAAGGTGTTAGCAGAATATCAATAATAGATGGCCAGATTAATGCCAAAAGATACCAGAAAATCCTGCAAGACAATTTAATGCGTTCTGTTGAGAGACTTCGGCTACCTCCTGATTGGATAATGATCCTAAGCATACCGCTAGATCTACAAGGAAATGGTTAGCTGAAAGTAACGTTGATGTCTTGCAATGGCCAAGTCAGTCCCCAGACTTGAACCCAATCGAGAATTTATGGCGATATTTGAAAATTCAAATTGGGAAAAGAGCACCAACAAATATCAAGAATTTGAAGACAATATGCCAAGAAGAATGGGACAAAATACCATTCAATGTGTGCAAATCATAAGTTGAGACGTACAGGAATAGACTGGTAGCTGTTGAACTCAATAAAGGATATTCCACAAAGTGTTAAATTAAGTTAATATGCTTTTTTTGTTTTGTACGAATACTTTTTTCACCGGTTTCTATTAGAATTAAGTTTATTACTATTTTTTATAAAATGTATCTTTACACATAAAATGTATCAAAATTTGTTTTAGTTAAGGCTTTTACATTTGTAAAAATACAAATTTTTCAAGTATACGAATATTTATTTCCCCCCACTGTATCTATCTATCTATCTATCTATCTGTGTCTGTCTATGTATCTATCTGTCTGTCTGTCTCCCTCTCTCTATTTATCTATCTCTGTGTCTATATCTATCTATCTATCAGGATGAACAACTAATAGAAACTACACTAGAATTTAAAGACTTACTTAAGGCCGAGGCACTGAAAGATCGACATGATAAAAAGCAGAAACTACTCAAAAATTCTTTCTAAACAACTGAAAATTGCCGCACAAGAACTACGTAACCACCCTGACATTATTGTAAAAAAAAAGCTGATAAGACCAACATTTTGTCATCCTAAACAAATTGGATTACAACAAAAAACTAGACCACATACTCCATGATCACACAAAGTTTAAAAACTTAACAAGAACCCGACCAACCAACTAAAATCAAAGCTTAATAAACTTATTAATGCTAATAATGCTGAACAGAACTCTTTAAAACTCCCTAAAATTGTTGGTGATTATAGACCTGGCTACATATATGGCACTATAAAAACACATAAACCTAACTATCCTCTCCGTCCTATCATATCGCAAATTCCAACTCCTGTATATCATCTAACAAAATACATCAACCAACTTATTACTCCCTATCTTCCTAGTAAATATAGTGTTAAGTCAACATTAGAAGTAATCCAAATCCTAAAAAGTGAAAAACCTGACAATGAAATCATGGCTTCACTTGATGTGGAAAACTTATTTACCAATGTCCCTGTTAGTGAAACTATTGACATAATCATAAGAAATATATACAGTAACTCATCTTTACCCCCACTTAAAATTAATCCTAATATATTAAGAAAACTACTATTAACTTGTACTACTGAAGTCCCTTTCTTTGATAATAATAACAATATATATATACAACGTGATGGTGTCTCCATGGGTTCAGTATTGGGCCCGACATTTGTAATTTCTACATGTCGAACCTAGAAAATAAGTTATTTACAGATTTTAAAAACCATCCATCTACCTAAGATACGTTGATGATATTCTTATGTTAGTTAAAAATACAGATGAAATAATTCAACTTCAAAAACGGTTCCAAAATAATTCTGTCCTTAAATTCACATATGAACTTAATACTAATAATAAAATCCCCTTCCTTGACATATTAATAAACACAAATAATAACAAATTTACTATTTCTCCATACAAAAACCTACAAGCATAAATTCATGTACACTTAACTACAAGAGCGAATGCCCATATTACTACAAAATAGCAATTATAAAGAATCTAATACATCGTGCAGAAACTAATTCATCCACCAAACAGATTTTTTTACAGTGAACTAAAGAATATAAAACAGACACTTATTAATAATAGCTTTCCAAACTATATAGTTGATGAACAAATAAGATGCTTTCTTAGAAATCTCAATAATAAGCAAATTGTACATAATACTGCTTCTACTGATCTCAAATATATTAATCTCCTATATCGTAATCAAATGCATACTAATTATAAACAAGATGAACACATACTAAAAAATTTAGTAAATTCTAATATATCAACTACAGATCCTAGCAAAAAAATTAAATTAATCATATACTACACTAAATCTAGTATATCCAACTTAATACTTCGCAATGATTCTTCTCCCCCGATTAGCGATTTGCAAAAAACCAACATAGTTTATAAATTCAAGTGCCCTTTGGGAGAGTGTATCTCCAACGAATTAAATAATATTTATGTTGGTCACACCACAAACTCGCTTTCACGACGCTTGACACTACATCTTAATGAAAAACTCTAACATTTTTAGGCATTTAAAACAACATGCCTGCCCGCACACACAATTCCGTAAAATACTTGTCGAAAACACAACTATACTTCGACATGAAAACAATAGACAAAACTAAAAAAATACTTGAAGCATTATACATCAAACAGTTAAAACCCAACCTAAACAAAAATCAACTATGGAATCTATACAAATATTCTTAAATGACTATAATTTCAATAATTGGTAACAGAAGCCATTGATTATACCAACGGCTTTCCTTATTTCATTCTCCAATTCACTCTCGTGTAGTCATGTGTGACGTCATGAGATGCGGTGCGATTTTCGCTTCTAGCGTCTTATATGCGCGTGTTCATCGTTGCTTAGTGATTCACTATGTAAACAAAACAATGACAGACTATATCATCACTGTCGTGTCCGTATATTGTTTGATATGTTTGTATTTACATCTTTGATAATGGCTTGAGTAAGCCGAAAGCTTAGATTTTATTAAAAAATAATGGATAAATATTGTGAATTTCTTTTTTCGGTTAATGATAATGTTACCAAACTTATCAGAAGATACGAAAAAATTTTACATAAAATAAATAGACAACACTTGTCTATATTATTTAATGAAACGTGTATAAATGAAAATATGCTGCCTAAATACACACAATCTATCTATCTATCTATCTATCTATCTATCTATCTATCTATCTATCTACTCTGTTCAATTCTATCTATTATATTATATTATATTACTGCTCTTACAAACAAATATGCACAACAGATTCATAAAATCAAAAGAAAATGGTTGAATACATCAACACAGATACAATGACAATATTCTCCACACGTGACAAATACTGACGTTATTTTTCAGTTAAAAATATGAAAATAGCGTTTCTCTACATTCCAGTTGCTAGGTACATTTTGTTTTTGTTTTTATTAGTTACTTTATTCAATTAATTTCATTTTCGAATTTTGCTTTGATAAAGTCCACATTGGACGAAACGCGTCAGCAATTACCAGTTTTCCTATTGTCATTTTTATTCATAAAAATTCTTTCTATCTATCTATCTATCTATCTATCTATCTATCTATCTATCTAGTCTGTTCAAATCTATCTATCTATCTATCTATCTATCTATCTAGTCTGTTCAATTCTATCTATCTATCTATCTATATATATATATATATATATATATATATATATATATATAGTCTGCTCAATTCTATCTATCTATCTGTCTATCTAGTCTGTTCAATTCTATCTATCTATCTATCTATCTATCTATCTATCTAGTCTGTTCAATTCTATCTATCTATCTATCTTTCTACCCACCTCCCTACCTACCTATCTACCTCATTCTGTTTATATCTATCTATCTATCTATCTATCTATCTATCTATCTATCTCAGTCTGCTCATTATCTCTCTATCTCTCTATCTCTCTATCTATTTGTCTGTGTCATTCTGTTTATATCTATCTCTCTATCGTATATGTATCTATCTATCTCAGTTTATTCATTATATATTTCAGTCTGTTCATATCTATCTATCTATCTATCTATCTATCTATCTCCGTCTTTTCATTATCTATCTATAAAGATGCGTACATGCATGCTTTTATATATGTGCGTATGTATTTGTTATCTCAACCTTAGTAAATGTTGTTGTTATTGCTTCAGATGGTACTAAATTCACTAATTCCTACTGAAACATACCAATCTGTATAGACAGAGGACTAATTACCTATTTACATAACCTTCGAATCACCATCTGGCTTAGTTTCGCCTTTGAAACACTAGTAAGCACCATACGTTATTGACTTTACTAACTCAGGCTGAGAATACCCAACAGTTCGTTGGCTGCACAATTTCAGCATCAGGTAACACAGAAACCATGGCAACAAATAAAACACAGAAGGCTAAAGGTTTTAATGGGCAAAAAAAAGACTGGAGATCGAAATTCAAAGGTGCCACTAAATGCGTTTGTCCTGAAATTGTTTTCTATGATTGAATTATGTGAGAGACGAGGTTTTAAGACCGTTTTTTGATACATAACAAGTAAAAGAGTATTTGGAGAATTAAATAATCACAGGACAGAGAGACAGCGTCCGAAGCAGAAGGAAGCGACAAGAAATATAATTAATAAGTTTGTTCAGATAGATGGGTAAAAAATTCCACTACAGAAATTAGAAAAGAAAGGAATGTCATGAAAGTGTGGAGAGCCATGATCGACTCTATCCGTAAACGATATAAGAAAGAAAGAAAGAAAGAAAGAAAGAAAGAAAGAAAGAAAGAAAGAAAGAAAGAAAGGCCATGAAAGAGTGAAGAGCTATGATCACCCAGATCCATTCGATAAAAGAAAGAAAAAAGAAAGAAAGAAAATAAAAACGTGTGGAAACAATGCTAACAAACACGGAAAGAAAGAAAGAAAGAAAGAAAGAAAGAAAGAAAGAAAGAAAGAAAGAAAGAAAGGCCATGAAAGAGTGAAGATCTATGATCACCCAGATCCATTCGATAAAAGAAAGAAAGAAAGAAAGAAAGAAAGAAAGAAAATAAAAACGTGTGAAAACAATGCTAACAAACACGGAAAGAAAGAAAGAAAGAAAGAAAGAAAGAAAGAAAGAAAGAAAGAAAGAAAGAAAGAAAAAGAGACAGAACAGATTAGATGCGGTTAGATTAAAAGAAAGAAAGAAAGAAAGAAAGAAAGAAAGAAAGAAAGAACAAGATAGTTAAAAAGAAAATAGAAAGAAAAAAGAGAAAGAAAAAGGAAGAAAACAGAAAGAATAAAAAAAAGAAATAAAAAAGAAAAAAAGAAAAGAAGAAAAGGGGAAAAAAAGCTAGCAGTTATTCTGGAGTATTTGATTTGGATTTCCTTTTATTTATTTATTTATTTTGATTGATTGATTGATATGTTTACGCTTTATTAACCTTTTGCAAGATATTTAACTCCAGAAGATATTTTACATACCCTTGGGAAAGTTATGAATCGCGAAAAGTCATGTGATGTATCTTTTTTTCTAGTTAAATTTTGAGTCACCCTTATATCATATCGATTCACGTAGTCAAATGTTTTCAAATACAACATTCATATAAGATAAAGAAGTTGGTTCATTTTGTCGTGCGAGACAATTTTTTTTTTTTTTTTTGCCAGAATCTATTTTACATATTTATAAGTCTACCATTCGTCCATGCTTGGAATATTGCCGAATAATCTGGTCTAGTGCTTCTGCTATGTATTTAGAGATTCTTGATAAAATACAAAAATAATCTGCAATGTTATTGAGCATGACCTGTCATCTCAGCTTCAGTCCCTTTCCCGCCATCGTAACGTAGCTTCCCTCTGCCTTTTCTATAAATTCTTTTATGTTAATTGTTCTAAATAACTTTCCTCTATCGTACACACGGGGGTTATATTTTTTTTAAATTATTTTTTTTATTTACACCCCAACCCCCACCCACGACAAAAATTCTACATACGGGGACAAGTTAGAACTACAGAGAGACTTCGAGGTATTATGGCGACTGTAGTAAGAATAATAAGTAAGAATGTGTTGTTTTGGTGTAAGGAATACTGTGGTATGTTTAGGTCAGTAATTGTGGCTAGCTGAGACAGATTGAAGACCAGCGTTCCCATAATCCCCACCTTTGGCCTTGTGTCACATTTTTTTTGTATTTTCAAAATAAATATCAATTTTCACTGAGAAGCTAGGACCTCATAGAGACTCTGAGGTATTATAGTGTCTGTCATAAGAATGGTAAGTAAGTATGCGTTGTTTTGCAGTAAGTAATACTGCGGTATGCGTCGGCTAGTAGACGTGACTAGCTAAGACAGATTGAAGACCAGCTTTCCTCTATTCCAACCTTTTGGCCTTGTGTCACATTTTTTGTATTTTCAAAATAAATAATACTTTCCGCTATGCTACCTAGACATTTCTATAAATATTGTTTCATAGTAATTGTTCTAATGAACTTTCCGCTATTGTAGATATGGGAACTAGTTAGGACTTTATAGAGACCCTGAGGTATAATGGTGACTGTAGTAAGAATGGGAAGTGAGAATATGTTGTTATGAATGTAAAGAATACCGTGGTATGTTTGGGTCAATAATTGTAGCTGGCTAAGTTTAATATAAGACAGATTGAAGAGCAGCCTCTCCCTATCACCACTTTTGGTGTTGCGCCACATTTTTGTATCACGCAAAATGAATATTACTTTCCTCCCGCATACATAGATTTCATGACTTTAAACGCAGTACTAGATTGGCATCTAGGTCTCATCATTTTACAGTTGAAATGGCTATATGTAGTCGTAAGTTCTTTGCTAAAAGTACATATGGGGACTAGTCAGGACTACATAGAGACTTTGAGGTATTATAGCGGCTGTAGTAAGAATGTTATGTAAGAATGTGTTGTTTTGACGTAAAGAATACTATGGTATGCCTGGGTCGGTAATTGTGGCGATCTAGGGTTAATTATAAGACAAAAGACCAGATTTCCGGATTCTCCCTTTTGGTCCTGTGCTAAATTTTTGCATTTTTCAAAATAAATATTATATCCTCTATGGTACCTAGACTTTATGAAGGACTGATTTGAGTTTAAATAGGCGCTCAAGATACGAGGCCTCACTGAACGAAACCCGCTCATCGTGATAGGCGAAAATTCAAGGTCCTCTTAGCTGATTAGATGATTGTACATCACTACTTTTGTATTCGGGGTCTTGAATGTTACCAACCAGTTTTCCCGTACTGAGCTGATAAAGCTCGGTCAGAAGAGAGATCAGCTGTCAAGGTCTGGTCATCTAGTTTTGTAGGTGCAACCATATACCGTTGTATTTTCAGCATATATGATCAGAGTATACTCTTCGGCAGATCATTTATATAAAGTAGAAAAAGTCTTGGACGGTGAAACAAGTTTTGGGGGATGCCTGTTATAAAAATAGATTCGAGTGTTATAGTCCTTGAATTGTTACAACTCAAATAAAAGAGACGTGATTTTGATTATAAAATTGAGCAACATGTATGCACATTTCGAATAAAGCTTTGAAATAGGTTACTTCTTGTATGAATCTCACAAAATCGTTCATCTGGAAATTAGCAGGGACCGGAGAGATCAGGGACATATCTGTATTTTCGTTGAAAACTATGCACAGTAACCTGGGCTCATACATATATATAGTTGTATATTTAGGCAGCAAACCTTCCTTTGTGCATGTTTGATTAAAAACGACAGACAAGGTACTAAGGTATAACTTTTTATTTCATTTTTCTTGTGTTCGAACAAGAGCTTTCTTTTCTGGACAAAGAGTGTATAAAAACTGTCCAAATGTTTTATAGTTCCGAGCGCTTTCGGCTATACCTTTAGCCATTATCAAGGATGATTCGATTTTTCAGCTTAATTGAGTGTGTGCGTTATGTGTATGTCTTAGTGTGGTAGGGACGTTTTTAATTTCCGAATACATTTGGACAGTTCTTACACACCCTTTGTCCAGAAAAGAAAGCTCTTGTTCGAACACAAGAAAAATTAAATAAAAAGCTTAACCGTAGTACCTTGTCTGTTGTTTTTAATGAAACATGCATATATATATATATATATATATATATATATATATATATAGTATTACGGTTAAGCTTTTTATTTAATTTATATATATGTATATATATATATATTTATATATATATATATATGGTATTTATCAATCCACCTACGGGGATCGAATGTGGCACAAAGCCTTTTTAATGTGGGTATCTCTGAGCCCGTAGGCCCAGCCAAAAATAAATAACCATCCAAACCCGCCGAGGCGGGCCAGTTCCGTCAACCTCCCCCAACGAAACCCTACCCTTCGGCGAAGCTTCGTCCGGGTTCCTCTCTGCAAGCAGAGAGTTCGACAGACAGCCGATATATATATATATATATATATATATACTAACAAAGATTGAAAGAAGTAGGAGGTATCGTAGATTTTACAACTGTACCAAATTCTAAAATAGTTAGAAAACTAGGGCTGTTCGATTTTGGAATCGTAGTATCACACAATTTGACATTTGGGTTTCACATGATAAATAAGAAATTCTTTTTTCCCAGATCGTTACCATTTTTTGAGGAAACAAGTTTAAAGATTAAGTTTAGGTTCAAAATCTTGGCGTTTGAATTTCATTCCGTAGATCAATGAAAGCCTTAGACGACGACCTTATGAAATGTATATTTTACTGACGCTTTATAAATTGTATATATATATATGGACAAGATGTATACACAAGCATATTATTACTAAATAGTTGTGTCATCAAATAAGACCTTCATTTACCTTAAAAGGAAATTATACTGTGCAATTTATCCATATCATGATGTAATATATTATATAGTGTAGTAGTTTTAGTGTGATTTTCAATAAACAATGCATTTTAAAACATTTTGTCTTATAATTTGTGTCCAGCAGTTTTATGGTGTTATATACATTTTTATTTATTTTTTGTTTTTATTAATTATGATCTAACAAATGACATAAAAATCTTATTCATTGTTGTAATATTTTACAGTTTTTACTTATCGAATACAGTAAAAAATTTCTTGTGGTGATTCCCAATCAGAATTTTTGTTTAAATATATTTTCCATCCAATGTATCTAATACAAAAGATATTAACTTTATTTAGATTTATTCTTGAAATAGTAAAATTTTGAAGTCAGTTTCTA